GACCAAGCTCTCCCTGGGAGTGCCCAGAGAAGGGGAAGGGACTTACCTGCCTTTCAGAGACCTGCTCAAAGCAAAGAAGTGGTTTAGTTAATTTTTCATCCAGCTGAAGCAAACCAGTTCCTCTGTTATATCTAGTCCCTATTCAGGTGCACCTCACACCTTTTTTGGGGTGCACAATGTTTTTTCCAGAAAGAGGAAGACATGAAAGCTTCTGTTTGATTTTCTGCACATTACACCGCCATAGAGAAACAACCTGCAAAAAGACAGAAGCCTATTAGGCAGCAAGTTGCAGTATTGGGTTTTTTTCCCCCTTTTATTTCTCCTGTTACTTTATGTAGCTGGAACCAGCTTTGGGCAAGTTGCATGTTTTGAGTACCTAGAAAAATTATTTTAACATGTTTGTAAAACAAACTGGGCTGCTGCAGCCCTCGCTGCACTGCTGAAACTACCTGAAGTCAGACTAGGGCTAAACAGAAAATAGGCAGGATGATGAAGAGAATGTTGCAGGGCAAAGATAAGAAGTGGAAACAGAAATAAGCAAGTTAAGCATGTGTGAGGAGAAAAGATTTCCAACTGCGGTGGTTCCTAGAGGCAGATAGCTGCTGGACACACTGCAGATACCATCACCCACAGATGTCCAGGTTTCTTCAGTATGAAAATCAGTGTGCAGGAATATTGTGCAACCAAGAATATTGTCTCACCTTGAAGTAGATCTGGGATATGATTGAGAAAGTAATAATTATTCCTAGGTTGTGTAATCTAGATGCAGCCAGAGGGGCTGCGTTAGCAAGTCTGTGCTGTGTAAATTATCACCAAGTAATTTCAGGATTATCAGCTATACACTAAAAGGAAGTCAGGGCTGATAATCCTTTACATACTGTGTGATTACATTACTTTGAAAAAACATAGTGGGTGTTCTATAGATGTTGCACAGATGTAGTGCTGCACAGCTAACCAAACAAATGCTACAGCTCTGACCAAAGGCACCGACCGACTCGCAAATGCATCCCGGCCTTTTACACCGTCTCTCACTAAAGACCTACACCAGGTAACAAGAGGAAGATGGTCACGGCTTCTTCCAAAATCAACTAGTGCTGTTCCCTGAGTTAGCTACTGCTTTGTATGGGAAACTGATACGAGTATTTCATTTCTTGAGAATCAAAATACAGGAACTCCCACTGCTGCTGGACAGCTGTGGCACTAGGCTGAGCCTGCCGACACATCCTGATCTTGCTGCATGGCTTTGTTTCTCTTTCTCCTTCATACTATGCAAGAGAGAGCATTTTGCCATGCTTGGGAAGTCCTGAGAAATACTACTGGAAAATATAATTAGTACTAACAGTAATCAAAAGATTGGGACACCAACATCCAATTCAAGCCAGTATGTTCAATCTCTTAACTTCTGTTTCTTCCCCTTTCCTGTTTGTGCACAGCTTCACTTTCCCTGTTTCTTTGATTTGTGCCTTCCTCATTTCTGTTTGCCTGCCTGATTTTCCTTCTCTTGCCTTAAACTTAAGAATTATTTCAGCATTCTTCCTCCAAAACACAGAGGGACAGATGCGTAGCTATGTTATTTATTCACTAATGACTACAGTACTTTTCCAATTCGATAGCATTTAGCACTTTCAGCATGCAAAACGCTTTCAGACTTTCTTCCCTGGGGAGAAGCTGACAGAACCCCTGACAAAAGTCCTGTTGCTTAACAGCTGCAGGAAACCACCCTGATACTGTTATGTCTAAATAAAGCATAAACCCCTTTGGGTCCTTGCTTATCACTTAAAAAAAAAAAAAAAAAAAAAAAGATTTGCCAGCCACAGTGGAGCTACACAGCTGACCAGCACTTTACAGCATGTGCAGAGAGCTAAGCTTACTGTAGGCAAAGCAAGAACGACAGGGTTAAGAATTAGTGAGATCTTAGTAACTTTAATTTTCTAACTTAAGCTTTGGGAATTACTTATCTGAAGGCAACCAAAGAGAATCATTGTGCTTGGAGCTCTCGTTCCCCTTACACCTCGTTGCTCCTGCACATCCCGTTGTTCCCTCCCATCCCGGTAAAAGCAGAGCCTTTTGTGCTGTCAATACAGGTGATGGGCAGTGTATGCTGCAGCTGACAGCCTGCTCCCTCAAGGAAATAACAATACAGGTCTAGGCGTAGGAGAACATTAACTCCTTTGGTCCATTTAAGACTCTCCCTGGTAAATAGAAAGTAGAATCCATGAGGCGGGAAGTATGGCAGCAACGACTACAGCAATGAGCTATGCAGATTTTTTCCTCCCTTCCTTGTTGTCCATCCTCCACCCAAGACCTAATTGATACTGTTCCAGCAGACTAGCACGTTGTCCTCCCACTTCTCCCCAGCCTGAGTTCTGAATTCTTCCCTGCTTAGTTTTTCTTCCACTCTTCATTCTTTTGTTCTGTTTTTGACTTTGGCTGTTGTACTGCTTTGCCTGCTGCCTTTTTTGTGTGCATTCCTACTCTGGCCTCCCACGACTCTCCTGAGGCATGCCCACAGCCCAGCAGCCTACATGCCCTTTCTTGTTTACTCCTTACAAACGTTCTCATCCTGCGCGCTTTACCAGTCCCTCCACACTCTGTTTCGCCTTCAAAATTCTGCTCTGCTTCTGTCACCAGGATTTTTATTGATCCCATGCAGTCTGGCTTGTGATCCCAGCCACTGAAATCTCTTCATTAAATATGCATAACTGTCTGGGTAGAGCCCTGAATACAGGGACAAAAACCATAATGCAAGTGAGCTCCCTTGCTGGCCAGGTTTAAACCTGTTCTCCAAACAGAAATCCACAGTACCAGCAGAACTGCAACAATGTGATGTCATCTGTGCGCCATTTCCTATCAGTTTAACCACATCTATTACAAGTGGGATTTCCTCTTCCCCGCTCCCTGCCTCCCCATCCCAGCAGTCATAACTATAGCAGTAAAAACTTTTAAACGTAGGCCAAGACAACAGCCAAGTCCACAGGGCACTGTTCTTTGACAAGCCTCTGAAATGCTGTTTGCTCTAGAACTTTCTCTCCTGGGGCTTCCACAGTTGCTCTTTCCCCACTTCTGCAATCTCTCTTGTGATTCCTTCCTGCTGTTGCCACCTCCTGCAGAACAGATGAATAGGAATTGGGCGTATTTGGCTACTGTATATTTGAAAAAATAATGCTTTTTGGTTCTGCCCTCTTTTATCATACCTCTTATCTGTTTATATTTTAGCAAATATAGCTTTGAGCAAACACAGCTTTTCTGTAGAATTTGGCTTTTGGACAGAAAATCTGCAATGAAGCTTTTTCCTGCTTACTTTTTTTTACTGCTGCCTGTACTTGTTAACTAAAGCAGTGCAGCCTACCAGAACAAGGCACGACTTTTAGTTTTACTTCTGTAGGCAAATTTAATCCAGTACACTTTATGGGCTTGGCAGCTAAGATTGCTGCAACTGATTGAGTGCTTCATGAAGAAGCCACAGGTGTACTCCCCACTTATCCACTAAGATCTCCTTCCTTGTTTAGCAAAACATCATTTAAGTACTTAACTTCTCATTGTCTTCCCTGGTGTTTATTTTCTGAGGCAGCTTCTCAAGTGTCTGCTACTAATTCACATCACTCTTACTAGTCATTGAGCATCCTTAGCACCATTTTGAGGCTAAAAATGAAACACAATGTATAAAATTTTGATAGAGCACAGGAAAGCACATTGTTTTCTTACTCTTGACTATGCCATTCCATTGAGTGTATGGACATTTTGGTGAATACAGAAATAAACACTTCATTTTAAAAAATTCTCCCCAGAAGTGGAGTTCATATAATATCAAACTGCTTTATTCCTCTGGCATACTTACAAATGAGAATATTTATGTAGGAACAGGTTGCCCAAGGAAGTTGTGGATGCCCACTCCCTGAAGTGTTCAAGGCCAGGCTGGATGAGGCTTTGAGCAACCTGATCTAGTGGAAGGTGTCCCTGCTGATGGCAGGGGGGTTGGAACTAGATGATCTTTAAGGTCCCTTCAAATCCAAACCATTCTATGATTCTATGAAAATTCAGTAATCTTACACCAGAAAGCTGAGGGGGAATTAAAGGCTTCAGCACCCACCCCCACCAAATATAAACAATAGGTTCCTTTATGGGGGTGAGTATTGTCCACGGAACCTGGTACAAGATCCGTTAATTTCAGCTGCAGTCTTTCTCAGTGACAGGACTAGGCTGTGGGTCAGATCCTACACATGGGTATATTTCTAAAATCAGCTAAAAATGGAATATTTTTATAGCTTCATTTAAAAATTGCTCTGCCAATCACCTTATTTGGGTTTGTTTCAGATTCACTGTCTCAATGGAAGTGGTACTAGCCTGGGCCCCAGCAGTGGGTTTCACATTCCTGCCCCATGCAGGAGGATATTTAGGAAGCAGGATAACCAAAAAGGAAATCCCAGTGTGGTATGAATCTCTACAGAAGCCATCCTGGTGTCCACCTAACTGGGTGTTTGCTCCTGTTTGGGGAACTCTCTATACATCTATGGGGTACGTTTTTCACGTTGTATTAAGGCACTTATCTGATCTCAAAATTACTTATTGTATAATGCTAGACCAGAGAACTATGACTGTATTCCTGTGGCTGTATGTTTGTAAGAAACTGTGTCAAGGTGCCTGTTTAACAGGTAAAAACACGTTTTGGGAGTTGTGTGTGGGTTTGATAGGACATTTTGTATGCATAGGTATCCACATCAAAAGCAGGAGTTTGAAAAGCTGCCATTAACGTGCTTTGATGGGACCTGCCAAGCTGGCAGTGAGGGAGCAAGACAGCACAGGGATTTCTTCTATGTATGTCCTTCAGTAGCTTTAGGAAAATAAAAAAAGGGGGGGGGGAGGGCAGCAGAAATTGGGATAGAATTGTTCTAACAGAGCTGAATTAAAAGAAACCAAAATAAAAATATACGTATCCTTTTGAATAAAACAGCCAGGCTGTTAAACTGTAAATATTTGAAGCCATCTACTGCCTTCTTATTTAACTAGTTTAAAAATACTTGACAGCACAGCAATTACTGTCAGATGAACAGAGAATCACAAGGCCAAATACCATTCCCACAGGTACCTTAAAAGTTTAATAATACTATATTTTGGCAGCTGTTACTTTTAATAAGATGTAGCAAAAATATTTATAGAGGTAGGTTCTCTCAGGAAACGGGGCAGTTCTGATACTCCTCACAGACTGCTCTAGAAGCTGTCCACCCAACATTATGTGCTTTTACACTAACCCTGCCGAGCTGTGCCATAGAGGAGAGGTAGCACTCTGCTCCTAGAGCCTCCAGAGAGGTCAGTGCAGCCCCCAAGTGCAGAGTAGAGCATTGCTTTGTGTCTCTTCCACACTTGGTCATTAGGAACTAGCTACATACCAAGATTCAGCACCTTTTTCCCTAGTGATCAAATATACATTGTTGCTAATCCAATAGTAATAGATTTGAGGCTGCAATATGCCCTGTATACCTTATCCGTGCCATTTCTTCCAGCATGACAGCATATTTTAAGTGATTTGTAGTTTGTCTATAGGACTGCCTTAACTATATAAAGTTTCAAAGATATCACATCTTTTCCAAATTAACATTACATAGTTGTCCTGCAGATTATCTTAAATAATGCAACACCTGTTGCAAAATACAGCAACGATGCAATGTCTGAAACCATATCTGAATGCTAAATTGGCTCTCACATTCTCTCATTTTGGTTTCATTTTCTTTCCAGAAAAGCTTTGTAATTTTTATAGCCTTATGTACTGGCCCTCCTTTCCTTTCAGTATGCTCCTTTCTTTCTCCTCTTACAGAGTATATTTTTAAAAACTGCTCTCTACTCTTGCATATTCCAAGAGTTAGCATTTGAATCAGATCATTACTGTCCTGTGAATATAAAAAATTGCCTTTTATCAGAGAGGCAAGAGCTGAGTGGCTTTCCCGTGAAGGGCTTCCTTCAAACTGACTGCATAATTTGTAACCCTGTTTCTGAATTCCTCATCATAAACCTGGATATCAAGTCAAATATTTTAAAAATCTAAACTGTGACTATACATCTAGCTCAGTGAAAAGATCATATTTATTACCAGGCCTTTTCTTCTGTAATCCATCACGTGCACACATTCCTTGAGTGATCGAGAAATCCCATTCCTTTAGAATCTCTTGAATATAACAGTAAAAAATAACTAAAAGCAAGATTTAATAAGGTTTTGTGTCTTTCTTGACATTTAGCTTCCTAGCAGATTTGTACATCGTGATCTTGGTCTGAAGTCAAATTTAGATGTATCAACAACTGCAAGTCCACACTGTGGCTCTATAAATCACATAGGAACAGATTTGGGTTCTGATGGCTTTTACAAAGATAAACTGTTAAGTTTCTAATGCTTACCCCCTATCACCCCCCAGACTTTTTTTTAAAAAAAAAAAACAAAACCACAAAACAAAACCAAACCTCTCTGCAAGCTGCCAAGACATCAAAGCTGCATTGTTCAGCCCTTATGAAAGTAATGGCCAAGAAGCAAGCTTAGGTCACTAACTGGGTTAAACAGAAAAAAAGAAAATCCTTCTTGTATAACCAACAAATGAGGACAAACTCCTCACAATTACTCCTATGGATGTTTGTGTGCTCCTAAAAAAGGAATGCTTACAAGTTGGTCTCCATCTTTGCTCCACTGTGAGCAGAAATACGTATGGACCGTCTGCTGCCCAGCATAGTGCAGAGGCCAGTTGACATTCCTACCAGAATGGAATCAGTATTCAGTTACTAACTCTGAAACAAGGATGGAATTCCAAATGTTGGTATTTTATCCAGGGGATTCTACTGTAGTCACCTGGAATGGCTACAGTCATCTGGACTGAAATGTAGTTTATGTCTAAAGGGAAAGTCAAACAAGAGCAGAAAAAATAGTCTTAGGTGATGAATGTTCCCTGTTCTAATCAGGCTCCTTCAGTGCAAAAAGAAACTTTACATTTTGCACTTTACAGTGCAAAAAGAAACTTTACAATTACTTTTACATTAGTAAATCTCCCAAATCCTAAGAATTCCTGTCTTTAGCAGCATACATTCTGGGATCCCTCCAGTGAACTGTTCTTCTGTGGCATTAAGAACTGTTAAAAATCTTCAAAATGTTTTTGAAAGATCTTTCAGTAGCCAGGATACTGCAGACAGGAAGGGTGCTGGATGCTTCTTGTGGTCAATTCTTTCTACATAACTCTCAAAATCTTTGTTCTCCTCATCTTTGTCCCCTTCCTTCTGAGAAGTACATATAGAGTCCCTCCTGCTCTAAGACCATCCATCCTCATACTCACCTGTGCTTTGAGATGCCAGTCAATTCCTACTTCTCCTATATTAATTTCATCCACTTAAAAAGTTACTGGGTTATGTTTATTTTTTTAAAAATTTATTTTAAAAGCACTATCTCCCAGTACCAATTAACAGTTTCTTCAATATTTAGACTTACCTTTTACCCTTGCATCTTAAGACTTGCTTCCATTTCAACATGGAATTCTCTTTTAAGACTGAAATGCAGGAGGTCGTCTGCTTCTCTGCACCTAGAAGTGGGAACTCTGACAGGATAGGGAATTTTTCTTCCTCCGTATTGCTATCTGCAGCAGGGGATCAACCCTGTGCAGTCAGTTACTGTGCCGAGTAGTACCTGGATATCTAATTTTCCAAACGAATTTAGACCCTACCACTGAAGTAATTTCATTTGATCAAGAATGTGTGTTTGCTTTCTCATCAGTGTACTGAATTACACCTTACATTTACTTTCTCCAGATATGGCTCCTACCTGGTATGGAAAGAACTGGGGGGCTTCAGTGAAAAGTCGGTGGTCCCTCTTGGTCTGTATGCAGGGCAGCTGGCATTAAACTGGGCATGGACTCCAATATTTTTTGGAGCTCACAAAATGGGATGGGTAAGTGGAAAAGTAAGTTTCTTTATCATAGGCTTCTGCTGTCATTTGCAAGGTGCTAAGACGAAAGTTTTGAGTCACGATCTTTTCTCTCTGAAAATGAGCCCAAGTAGAGGATATTGGCTTGTAGAAGTTTTCTAAAAGTTTTTTTAATGCATGCCAGCAGCCACCTGAGAGAACTTACATATCTACAACATCCTTAAATGTTTAGATTTCTGCCACCCTTTTATAAGAGCTTTGTGTGACTAGAAAATGTAAACATTTATGCCTTAGTAAAATTCCTAGGTATCTCTGGCAAACAGCAATGATAAGAAGCTTATCATAACATTAGTCAGGTAATTAGCACCCATTTTAGACAACACTAATTTTCTGCAGTCTGAAGAGAAACAGCTTGCCTCAAAAATAAAAATCAGTACTAAAAATAAAAACTATTTGCCTGCTTGTCTAAATATATACACAGTGATGTAACAGTGGAAGACTTTCCAATCCACCATCGATTCATTCACACCACGTATCTTCAGGCATCTATGACATGAAAAAAATGGATAAGTTTACTGAGCTAAGTGGCTTGCTCAAAGTCACACTGGATTTGTAGCCTATGTCACACTTTCTGCTGCCAAAAAAAAGGGTGTGGGTGAGAGGGATTTTATTCTCCCTCTCCTGCTCTCAGCTGCAATGCCCTTTTTGTGACTGTTTTATTGTTTTATGTGTCAATTCAACTCGTAACTCAGCAGAAATCTTTTCCTGGCTATTTTTCTGAGACAGAACTGGCTCAAGTGCCAGAGCTAAGTGGAAAGAGCCACACAAAGACTATCTAGTCAAGAAAAATGCAAGAACTAAAACCATCACTAACCACCTTCCTGTGTTTCAGGGGCTGGTGACCCTCCTGCTCACAACTGGTATGGCAACAGGTACAACTGCTTCCTGGTATAACATCAACAAAACGGCAGCTTATTTGATGGTTCCTTATTTAGCTTGGCTAACCATGGCTTCTGCACTCAATTACCGTTTCTGGAAGGACAATCGAAACAAGAAACAACCTGAATAAACAGTTCTCAGCCAAGAAGTTTTTTTTTTTCCACAAGAGTTTTCTAAATAAAGTTATGACCTTATTTTATTTTTAGCTGAACTACTTAGACCATTAGTTTACTAATTACAAACTGACAAAGCAGTACTTGTTTAAAACAAACATGTCTTTACTGGGCAAGTCAGAAATGGGCGTATACTTGACTGGGTTTTATAGCAAACTAAAAGATTACTGACTAAAAAGTACTAGTTTTCTATATTACAGCACTACATTTCATATGACAACAGCATTTTAACTATCACCAGAAATAAGCACGAACTCCAACTTCATTATGTTCAGAGGAAGAAATCCAGACATATATTAACACAGCTTCTAGAAAACTCCCAACAGTGACAGGCATGACTGCAGTCTGAATCTTTTGTGTTTACCACTAGACACAGTGCTTTAGTGCTATGATGTGTCCCACTACAGCTGACAGGCATTTATCTTTGGGGTCATTGTACTCCATGTTTAACCGTTTTAAGACAAGATCTTTTTCACAATTTGTGCCTTCCCACTTGGAAGCGTTGTAAAATCTAGTGTCAGCTAAGTGCGTTAAACTACATGTAAACTTGATAACCGTGTTCCTCGGTTTTTATTGGTTTTGAATGGTTTTGAGCAGAATACTGAAGGCAGCAGGATGCTATAAACTCAAAGATAGCCTCTTCATCTCTTCTCTTTACCATTGCAATGGGCAAGACAAAACAGGAAATTCAGAGCACCTAGACAGAAAATCAGAGGACCTAAATATTCAGCAGCCCCCTGCATACACCTCTGAGGCATCACCAGCAGCACTGGTGCTGCCCAACAGCACGAGCGTACTCCACCCAGACCCTCAGTGTGATGCCAGTTCACCACTAGATCTGGACAGCAGAGCTGGCAGCCAGGCCATGGGTGGGACTGTTGCCCCGCAGAGCAGTACATACACCATAGCTACTGTGTCTCCTACCTGCACCTTCTCACTTTAGCTGCTTAGAAAGGGCTTCTCTTCTTCAGAGCTATGGTAGCTGACGTAGCAAGGTCTAGGATGCTTAGTTCAACCAGTTGCTTCCTATAAGATAAAAAGATCTCTTTCGTCTAAGAGCACAAAACCAGACTGTTTTTGCCTACAGCTTGTGGCCCCACTGTATAAATCTTACTGCTTTTTAAAAGTCATTCTTTGGGTTTGCTAAGTGTGACATCACTTTTCCCTTTGTGATGAGGGAAACCTTCCCCTTTACTCACATCCACAGGCACTTTTGTTAGATGCTTTCAGGTACTTTGAGGACAAAGTGCCTTTTTGTCTCCTAAATGGACAAATAACTCTGCTGAGCAGCGCTGCATGTCTGCTTACATCCAGTCTCAAGCACCCATTACTATATTCTGTATCACAGACTTTTTCCCTATCGGCGGGTAGTCACACCATCTATGTTAAGCACTTCACCATGTTTCTTTAATCACATTTAAATAAGAAGTCCATAAAAGTTCCGACTCATGAACAGGAGACTGATATGGCTGTCAGCACCATTTTTGACTGTGCAATCCAGCTCTCCCTTCTACTTCACCCGTGCAGTGACTGAATTTTCATAAAACACAGATGGTTTATTTCTCCAGCCTATGTTCCAGGCAGTGGCAAGAAGTAGGTTTCTGCAGACCAACCTGAAATAGTCTAGAATATCCCTCTCCCTTCCTGATCAGGAGCGGTAACATGCTGCATATTTGCAAAGCTTGAACCAAGGTTTAGAAGATGTATACATTTTATACAACTGTATTTCACTCTCAAGCAGATCTTGATTGCTGCAACTAGCTTAAAAAAAACCACTACCCACATAATACATACTTCATGACTTTTTGCAATTTGCACATGCATACAAAGCAACATAAATACAGCCTAAAATTGCTAAATTTCAGCCAAAAATAAAAAGTGGGAGGAGAGATTAGGAATGATTAATTTTAAACTGACACCCCACTCCCAAATACCTCTATCTTAAGTTATAAACTCTGCAGTCCAAAGACTGCTTGGGCTTCTAATAGTCTCTCATATCTCTTTCTTTCCTTCAGGCTTCTGCATTTCTGTGCTGCTCTAGACATTGCATCCTTCTCACTTCCTGCCTGACCCCTTCTCAAAAATCTAGTTTAAGAGGCAGATGAAGGATGACAGCCAGCAGTAGAGTTCCTAAATGTTGTGGGTTTTGTTTGCTTTTTCATAAATAAAATAAATGGGAAGAGCCATCAAATCTTTCATCTTATTACCCTAGTAGTTCATTGCACTGAAATACCAAATTATTTTCCCATCAGAACCTTTTAGATCTTTGTATAAGAGGGAGAGATAAGAAAGAGATATACCAACTCCAACTTGATGATTCAGTAAATTATAGTTTTAATGTTGACACGGGGAACTTATGCAATGTTTCCCAGCAAGCAAGCAATCAGGCTACCTGAGAAACAAGTCAATTGCTCCAGTTACCGTCCTATTTTGAGGTCTCCCATATTCAATAAATCAGACATTTGGTCAACACAAACTGATTATTTATAGAACTAAGCAAGACAAGGAAAATATAGACAAAATTATTATCAATACAGTATATGGTATACGCATATTCTTTCGATATGAATTTTTTTTTCCTAGGTTACTAGTATAGGAAAATAGTTGCATCAGCAGCTCATAGAACTGAAATATAAATCTTGCTGTTAAGCATATCTGGGAAGGAAATTAATAGAGTCAAGCCTCCTGTGGCTAGACAATGCACGTCACATGGCAGCTGTCTGTTTCATCCAGAAACAGGGCGCTGAAGACATCATTAAAAAAGGTAGGGTGGTATTTGCAGGCTCTATCACAGTCAGGATTAAAGTTCACCTCCAGGATCTGAGGCTGCATAATTCTTTTCCCTGTAAAGGAGAACACAAACACTGCCTCTTAATACAAGCCCTACAGACATCCTGAATAACTACCTGTCTTTAAATACAGAGATTATGGAAAATGACTGGGAAAAGCCATTTTTTATGACCCAAGCTGGCAAGCCAGTAAAATGTTTTTATTTTAGTGGGTTTGATTTTTTTTTTGGAGGGACAGAGGTCTGTTCTACCATCGTTATCCAGAGGACAAATATCCAACAGATTCTGCAGTCACTGTGCTAATCCAATGCTTTATAATAAATGCCTTAGAATAAAAATTTGCAGTGATTTAATAGGATCTCCCAATACAGCCCATCTTGCTGGACAGTCTGAAGCATCTTCCAGAAAACTCTGCTTCTCCTTTCACATTTCAGTACAAACCTTCCTTTCTTAAAGCTCTTAGATATCTACCTTTCTATTTCTAGCAGCCCTGTTACTTTACGCTCCAGCCACTCCATCTCACTCATAGAAATAAATAAGTCAGGAAGTTTAATTTTCTCTTAAAACTTCTTCAGTACAGTTCAGAAACAAATGAATTCTGTGCAAAGAGAATTTTATTTCCTGTCTGGTGCTGAGATCATAAGTGACGGTACAAACTTCTGATGAATAGGTAAACTATACTCTGCTCTGCACAGAAGCAATTAACCTATTTATTTGTCCATAGGCTGCCTACAGCATCACAGCCGTGACTTTGGCACCCACACCCCCACTTTCAAAGGCTAGGGACTTAGGCAGTTCAGCCAAGGCTGTCATGTGAGCTTGGTCCTTTTACTACAATAGTTTTCCTCGAGCTAGTAATAACAGCAAGTTGCTTTGCTTCTCCTATTCAAGACAACTCTAGGACAGCTGAAAGAGCATCAACATGGACGTAGCAGAATGAAATTCAACCCCTTGCTCCACTTAATTTGAACAGGAAAGGCTCAATTGTACACCTCCTGTTTCTCAATCATCTCACTCCATGAAAGTGATTCAATAGTTACCGAATCAGCCACTGTGGGACTGGGCTAGGGGTACCCACCCAAAATACAACATCTCATCACTCCTCCAGCAAACCTGTGCACGAGGAATGAATTTTTCCTGTCTCCCGGGGACTACAATGTCACAAGAAAAGAGTACCCACAGTTCTGTTTAATACTCCCCAAGCAGTCCTTTTTGTGTTGGTGCCTCTGCTGCTTTTCTACCTACAAGACACATGTCTGAGTTGGGTACATTTATAGAACATTCTTGAGCCTCCTGGTGAGATAATAAAAAACTCACCCCGTTTGGCAAATTTTGCTACCAGTCCTCCAAACTGGATGGAAGAAAGGCTCCAGGTAGCTGTTAGCCATGCTGCAGTACTACCATGAAGCACCTTCATGTACATGTTCTTGCAGAGACTTGGCAACAACTGAGAGACAGTTCCTGAGGACATCAATAGCACTGAAGTGAACGCCGTCCCTTCCCTGCTTTATTAACTAACTGTGCATTGAAGACACTGGGCCAAGCCTGGAGGCTACAGATAGCAAGATGTCTCTAAGGTTTTCATGGAGACACACATATTTCAGACATTCTCTCACCATAAATGCAAATGAAAATTTGCTGTCAGAATGACTAGATTGCTGCACAGTTGGGTTTTGTGTGTGTTGGTTTTGACTTTTGTTTGTTGGGTTTTTTTTTTTTTTTTTAAACAGAAGGGCAGTAGCAAGGGGACAAGGGAAACAAGGACTCAGCCCAGCACAGTTGACAGCTCCCCCATCATTACTGCTAAGCAGCATAGCAGATGCTAACGCCATGGATCTGCAACTCCAGATATGTTTTGATGTCAGTGGGAGGCACAGAGTACACAGCTCATGCTGCTTGGAAAAATAGTAAGAGTTCAGACAGAAGAAATAAATTTTTGAAAAGGTTCACAAATATAAAAGAAGTCAACATTCAAAGAAATAAGCTTCTCACCATCTCTGCTGGTGTCCCATTTAAGCATCAAATCAATGGCATATATTGCTCTTGATGATGGATAATCACAGATGCCCAGAGGAGCAGGTTTAGCTGAAGCAACTTGGAACAATTCAGCAAATGCCTTAAAAATATTTGCCTAATAACAGAAAAATGGCTCTGAATGAGAACTGACATTCTATAAAAGCAATAAATAGTGTTCTTAACTTCAATTCATATAGCTTTTGAAAGGGTTTGTATAAATTACACTGACCAATAGATTAAAATCTGCACAGTATTAATTTCAAAATATGCACTTAGACCTAAAGACAACACAGTGAAAGCGCCGAGCACCTGACAATATCCATGGACTTTTCTGGGGAGCAAATCAGTAGTATGGAAATCCCCAAACTAGGGCACTTAATATGAGAATTAATTCCTTTCTCAGGCATTATATACAGTATTGCTCTTATGTGTAGAGGAGGGGAAAAAGAATATCCAGGAGAGTTCTGTGAACACCAGCAGTACAGCTGTGAAGTTCTGACTTTTTCCTGCCTATTAAGTTGTATTCTAGCTTTGTTTTGTTTTGTTCTGCAATAAAAAAACCTTCTACCCCTTCTAAAAAGGGTGGTGGGGACATGGAGATTTTAAGAACATACTACACTGGTATTTTGCGAAACAATCAGATATTGACTGTGAAAGTGAAATAATTCAGAAAGACCACACAGGTGTGAATTTTAGTACTGAGTTTATACTGCAGTGAACCATTCCTTCTGCAAATGAAAAGATGGTTTGATACTCCTTATTCTGCACACAGTACTACTTTGGGTAACCTACAGTACATATTTTGACATCTCTTTTCACCCCTTGTAGTCTCTTTCAGACTATTTCAAACCTAATGCTGCAAAACCCGTAATACTCCAAGTAAGTATCACTGATTGAATATAAGGTTCTAGTTAAAACTGATGTAAATTAATTTATGGAAATCAACTCACACTTGAGTAATTTATTCACTTTTGAAAGCATATGCACATATAAATGCTCACATTCATTTTGCATCTTCTAGCTCCCGATAAATACGGAAGAATGCAACAATTCAGTTTTGTGCATGTTTCTGAACCATCTCTTAACACATTTAGCTTTTCCTTTCAAGCATGAATTACAAGCAAAAAAAAAAAAAAAAAAAAAATCAATAAGAAGGCCTCATCTGCCTTCCTGCATGCTTTATGGAACTACAGTGTTTTGAGCTTGCTCTTTGCAGAAAAAAAAGATGCCCTAGTACTGGGGAACCATCCGTTTTCTTGTGAAAGGTCATTAATGCAATGACCAGGGACATGGCTCTGCCTGGTCAGCTTGCTAACACAGAGAAGCCAGGGCAGCAGCTGGAAATCCTGCATTGCAATCTCAAAGGTAAGATTTAAGAAACAGGTGTTCTAACTTACTAGCTCAGAAATATTATGTTGGTAGAGGAGTCGTTAAGAAAAAAGAGAAGACCAGTCTAGCTTTTCTTTTAAATACGCCACATTATACAAATGCAGCTTGTGTAATATCCCATCTGGCAGCATAACCCTTCAAGCACAGCACCCCTGGAGCAGGGTCAATGCTTATTTCTATCGGTCACTTGGGCACATCCTAGTCTTGTGAGTGAGCTCCAGTGCACTGCCATCCTGAAAGTGCACAGGGAAACCTTTAGACCAACAGCTCTGCTTAAAATAGATAAATGAAAACCTGTGATGCCATTCCACTGAGATTATATTAGATACTGTAATTTCCTATTTACTTTAGTTTCCTACTTGGTCTGATAGCTCCTTATCTTGTGAAGCCACCTGGAATAAAGAAAGCAAGAGCCTTCAGTGGTTCAACTTTTCAGAGTTAATACTCTGCTAAAAAGAGTAGTGAAGACTTTGAAAACAACTTTTCCACAGTTGTTCTGGTTTTCAGCTGAGACAGAGATAGGTTTCTTTTTAGTAGCTAGAATAGTGCTGTGTTTTGGTTTCAGTATGAGATTTGTTGTGGGAAGAATGCTGATAACATGCTAATGTTTTCAATTGTTGCTGGAAGTTGAAGGACTTTGAGTTTTGCTAGTCTACAGGTGCAAGGTCGGGGGGTGAGAAATAGTAAAATTAATAAACTAGATTGGCAATTGAATATGCCAATTGGATAATCAATATTCCACGTCATATAATGTCATGTTGGGTATATAAATGAGAGTCATTCACTTGTGGGGGTTTGTACTCTCTGGCTCTCTCTCCTCTGAGATTGTGGTTTTGGTTTCAGGATTGCTGCTCCTCTGGAATTGTTATCTGATAATGGTCTGGGCTTGGTTGGTGGGTGGTGAGCAATTGCACTGTGTATCACTCATTTGCATTTTTCATTATTATAATTATTATTTGAATATCACTATTATCTTAGGTTTTATTTTATTTCAACTATTTAAATGTTCTCATCTCAACCTATGAGACTCCTTACCCTTACCCCTCCAAATCTTTCCCTCATCCCCTGGCAGGGGGACAGGGGAGTCAGCAAGTGGCTGTATTTGCCTCCTAGGCAAGTGCTAGCCAAGTGAAACCACAACAGTCATGTGAGCAACAGCTGTAGTGATCCGGACACTCTATATGCTGGACTTCCCTTCCTTTTTGCATGAAATAGTGTATCTTCACAACCACGGGCTAAGATTATTGGCAACCATCTTCAAAAAAGATGGAACTTGCAAGAAAAAAAGATTCTGGTCCCAGGATCCTGAGGGTAGTCAGGATTGGCTTTAGTACTAAGTCCAATACAAAGAATTCTCATAGTATAATCATGAAATAAAATTCACAAGTGCTAACAACAAAGTGTTTGAGGGAGAATTACACTAAGTTAATAAATACTTCTAGAGTAAAGCTTAACATTTGTTGTCCTTTGTGGAACATGAAGTATGTCTTATGAATAAAGAAAACCAGCACTTTTGGAAAAGCTAGTTTGCTGAGTAAAAAAAGATCCATGAACATTTACACAAGAAAGATTAATTGCTGACTTACTTGTACCGTTGTCCAAGGATATTCAGGATATTGTTTTTCAAACAGAGGAATAAATTCATCACAGTGTACCTAAAACAGTTTAGCAACATCAAAAACTGTTTTGGCTGGGAATGATAGAGCAATCAGATGACAAGAGAATGGAACATCAAATACTTTTTGCCATTCCTACAAGCCCAGATGGAGAACTAGGGAATTAGACAGTTCCTGCACACCTCTCTTGTTCCAGTATTTCTTGTTAGAAAAGATCACACTAAAGTCTTTGACAATAATTAGCTGCCATTTTAATAATTCTTTTACTGATCTCTATCAACGTGGGTTATATTCAGAATGCAATTTTGTTATTACCTTATATAATCACAGATGATTAGGGATCCAGAGGGGGAAGAGTCTAGGAAAATATTTGCTTAGGGTACATTCAACACCCTGACTGCTTGTTTATGTGGATGTGAAACAGGTTGTTTGGCAACAGTCACAAAGGAGGCACTGGGAGATTTTCTAACAACAGAAAGATGAGGGAATGTTTTGGACTGTTTGCTTACCTGTTTTAATGTTACACCAGGAGCATAATTCATGACTGTGAAATGCTTCTCATAGTCATCCAAGTCATCAAGTGAAAATGCCCTAAAGGATAATAAAACAATTTCTTAGTTTCCAAGGCATCAGATTTAATTCTAAGCCCCTCCACACTAATAAGAATGTAATTACCGATTTGAAAAGCGCAGCCAGAATACATCATAGATATAAAGCTTGAGTGGTTTTATGGACCGCAGCAATACAACATAACGGATGTCAAATTTAACCATCCCCACATCTTCTCGGTGAAACAAGACTGGATTATCAATATATTTGCACACTACCTACAAGAAACCAAGAACGCTCACAGTGAATATAATTCAACTGAAATGAAAACAAAGTGTCACTGCATCTCGATGATTTAAGGCATCTCTGTGTGCACGTCAGTTTTTCTTTAGAAATGTCCACAAATACACAATGTTGTTATGCAAACAGGTACCTTTTATCAAATTCTTTGACATCAGGGTGGGGAAAGTGGGAGGCCAGAACGTACTCATTTAAAAAAAAAAAAAAAAATTCACAAAATTAATTTTATTTACAGTTTCAGTGACCTTGTTGTTTTGAACTACAAATGTGAAGCAACTCATTGTACATTCCTGCATTCCAGAAAATACATGCAGTCCACACACCAACAGAAATAAACCCGAAGTGACATTCTGATCTATGACTGCATATTGCAGACTCCCTACAAAAACCTCAGTGATTCATCTGTGTTGGCAAAGATGGTACTTTATGCCACTGTGCAGAGCTGTGGATCAGCAATAATGATCAACCAGGGGACAGAAGCAATAATGTTCCAAAATTTATGACTATAGCTACCGTGGGATCATCTGCCAGTCTGAGGATTAGTGTTAAAGCAGCAACACCTGGAGTACTCATTACTATCAGGGTAAGTTACATTTTTTAAAGAAGAGAACACCAGGCTCTTTGGGATCATCAGACCAACAAATGGAGCTGACCAATTTGAATCTGAATCAATTCTGAATTGATTGAAACTGTATGCTCATGGCCAGCATATGAATTTTAAAGAAAATAAGTTTCCTTCACTGTATTTTTAGACCTCCTTCTAGGATGGGTTTTTATCAGCTCTCCCCTTTAAATCAAATTCAAAACCATGCTCTCCAACCTTGGGGCTGCTTTCCCTATGCCTGATGATATTGTTAAGGCTGTTGGTGATGTGGGTATCCAGGCTTCTGGCCAAGTTCCACGGTTTGCATATCCAGTGATTGTCTTCTCCTCTAAAAGAGAGAGAGAGAAACAGAGAGAAGCCAACACCTGTAAGTATCCACCTCATTCAGCTGTCTGGATAACCACTTGATCTGATCTATGTATTCCCCTAAAGAAATACATCATAAAGCTATGGGCTACAGCACAAAAACTAAGGACCTTTGACTGACAGCTGGGAGTGGTAAGCCTTAGGCGGAAAGGGAAGAAAAGGCAGCAGTAACTTTCACTGATCTTTTCAGTTAGGGCCTAGCATGCTCTCATTGTTCATTGCCTTTTTCTGCATCCAACTCCATAAATGACACTAACGTATCTCTTTTGGAAGAAATCACACAGTATCTCAACAGTTCATATTGCAAGAAAATGAAAGTGAGAAGATAGCAGTGTGCTTTCTAGTACCTAGTCACTTCAAGGGGCAAAATTATTTGAAACATCCTTGAGGAAAACAGGCAACATGCTGGACTTTCAGTGCATCTTTCCGAATAAGGGCCAGGTGACACCTGATGTCTTCCTTTCCTCCATCTATTAAAGCATCCCAAGAAACTCCTTGAGCTTCATGATAAACAGCATAAACTGAACTGAGCTGAAGTTAGCGGTGTTAGGTCTGTTTTGTTTGTTTATTTGAAAATTCCTATCCTCTCCTTTCCATTCTCTACATACACATTGCAACCACGGTTAATCTTTGATATTAAAAAGCAATTAAAACACCACACACTAGGGATACATGGAAGGAGTGCGCTCTCCTGGTTATGCCAGTCAGTAAAACAGACTACAAAGAGCAAAGAATGGCCAAATGAAATGCCTAATAGGTTGCACCGCAAGGAGGCATCACCAAAGAAGCAAACTTTCAACCAGAATACACCGTGCCAGGAATAAGGTTATTCCATGAGTAGTACCTAATGTGTGCTCTCTTACCAAAAGAAAGTCTTAGCTTCCATGCACTCCAAGGCAGCTGCAGCAGCAGAAAATGTGGATTTAAAACCCTACAGCTCCACAACTGCTTTAGGCTAACACTAAAACTAAATTTGACTTTCACAACCTTACAGAACCCTTTAACCCAGAACTTTAACTCTAAACATTTTCCACTCTGGCTTAATTGCAAGAACAACTGCTACTGGTCCTCTGGAAAAAACCCCAACACTTGTTGCAAACACATTTTGATCCTTTGCACATCTGTTAAATACAAGAGGTAAGACCTTGATTACACAAAAGCAACAGCCTTCAAATCTGCATTCAAATCACAGCAAAGTTTCTGTTTCAAAATGCATTGCTTAGCTACTCTTACATTAAAGAAAATACCTAAAAAGTTCACACTTTCTAGGTAAAGTTCCCTTGAACATCAACACAGCAAGAACAAACTCATGGTGGTGTAACAGCTGCCAAGCTCAAAATGCAGGCTAGTGGTCTTTGAGGAAAGTGGGATCAAGAAAGCACAAAACATAATGAAGTAGAAACAGGAGCCACCTTCTATCGCGTTGCTGAAAGTAGCTGATGAACTGAGGCAATTCTGTCTGGAGGTTAAAAGTACGAGGCAACCATCTTGGCCCATCTGTTCCTCCAGCTCGTCTAGAGATGGACGCTAGGCAGTCTTTGACAGTCAGGAGGTTCTCACACGGAAACTGATTCAGCATAACCCCAGGCCTTTCCTCACTTAGCTTCCTACAAAACAGAGAAGTTGTTGGGAGACTTCTTTGGGAACATGTTTTTATAGCAACAAAAGGATTTTTGTTATCAGGGGAACAATAGCAACCTATAATCTTTGAAGTGTGAGAAGTTGTACAGGATGTCTGCTTCTGCCTCGTTGTCTGTGAATACAAAACGGGGATGTGTCAGGTTGTTGAGGACTTGCTGAATGTCTGTGAAAACCCTAGAAGAAGAAAAAGGCACATGAAGAAAAATGTCAGTTTGGTTTCTGAAACCGATCAACTCTTGCTTAACAGAAAAAAAAAATAATTTTTAAGCTTGGCCTCCTAGAAGAACTATGCTTTACCAGTACATACTATCTGTGACAATCTTTTCTTAATCCACAGAAATGTTTTAAATTGAAGTGGGACAGAAATCTCAAAGACAGCACAAAAATAGCTTTGCAAAAAAGAGCAGTTCAGAAGACAGTGACTAAGTCTCTGACAGAAGTACTAACATTATTTCACTATTCTACACAAAAAGTCCTTGAGTGAGAGAGACCTTGTAAATACTTTTGTTGCTGGAAGAGCTCTAAAAATCAACCTGCTGTTATTCACAAGAAAGAAATTCATAGGAAATTTTGTCAATTTAACTCAGTAGCTTCAGAAGACTATTTTCTTAACTTCACACAGAGACATCTCCAAACAATCAAAACATATTAAAGTATGTACATTACGTAGGTGCACGAAGTGCACACAACTTTGAGGTTTGATACCAATCCTCTCCCAGTCCCATTAAAAAAAAAAAAACACCACAAAACACAACCCAAGCCTGATACACATTACAGAACATAACCAAGAACGAGGCAAGATATTGCATACCTTAGGAAATTTATCTCTCAAACAAAACCAGTGACTTGGCTATCTGACATGCTAAAATAAGCAGGTAACAAAATAGGTTATTTGGATGACTAGACAGCTTAAAGTGAGGTTACTTAATTCAGAATTCAGCATGATGACTCAAAATGTGAGACTGACATGGCCAGCAGGTCAAGGGAGGTGATTCTACCCTTTGTACTCTGCTCTCATAAGGCCCCACCTGGAGTGCTGCCTCCAGTTCTGGAGTCCCCAATACAAGAAAGACATGGACCTGTTAGAACAAGTCCAGAGGAGGCAACGAAGATGATCTGAGGGCTGGAGCACCTCTCCGATGAGGACAGGTTGAGAGAGTTGGGGCTGTTCAGCCTGGAGAAGAGAAGGCTCCGGGGAGATCTTATAGCAGCCTTCCAGTACCTGAAGGGGCTACAGGAAGGCTGGGGAGGGACTTTTGACAAGGGCAGGGAGTGATAGAACAAGGGGTAATGGCTCTAAACTGGAAGAGGGTAGGTTTAGATGAGATATTAGGAAGAAATTCTTACTGTGAGGGTGGTCAGACACTGGCACAGGTTGCCCAGAGAGGCTGTGGCTGCTCCTCCCTGGAAGTGTTCAAGGCCAGGTTG